GTACAGCAGAGGCTAAAAATATATCAGGGTAGAGATTTCCCCCACCCCAACTAATAAGGTAGGTTTCTGAATGTTCAACTGGTCACTTTTATAATAAATTTAAAGTCGATATTCAAAGCACAAGTCATATGATCAGAAGAAAGTTTTCCCAAGAATTTAAGCAAAATGGCAAAAGTTAACAGTGACAGAATTCAGTGTGTTACTGTGAACTCAGCAGGGCCACAAACAATCCCAATGTCAAGTATATTCTCCTTAAGTCCAGTCTGTGCCTATTTTCCAGATGAGAAAACTGAGGGTAAGGTTAATATTAAGAGACATGCACAAGGTCCCAGGGACAGTATGTGGTGGGCTGGGCTATCTATTCATGTTGGTTTCTCCTCGCCATCACTCAGTACAATAGGCAGGAATCCCTCCATTTGAAAAATGAAGGCACAGATGTTCAGAGGGGTTAAGAGTCCTGCCCAAAGTCCACAGTAAAATAGTAGAGCTAATATTCCTATGGAACCTTTGACTGACACCAAAGTGTATTAACTACTGGACTTCATGAAGAGCTAAAATGTCTTCTATGTTCATGAATTGAAAAGATTACCAAATCGCCACTAGAAAATCTGCTCTAGGACCATAGAGACCCCTCAGTAAATGGAATAGTCGCTTTTGTTTTGGTTTTAATTTTAATTTTTTGTTTTTTATAATTTTTAAAAGATTTTATTTATTTATTTGACAGAGAGAGAGAGAACACAAGCAGGGGGAGCAGCAGAGGGAGAGGGAGAAACAGGCTCCCTGAGGCGGGGCTCGATCCCAGGACCTTGGGAACATGACCAGAGCTGAAGGCAGATGCTTAACTGATTAAGCTACCCAGGTGCCCCTGGTTTTAATTTTTAAATCACACTTTTTAAAAGAATTCCTTTTCTTGTTCTTTCCTAAGCAATCTGAAAAGTAACTGCTAATATATCAATAGTAATGAAGACGCTTCCCACTGCCTTAATAGTAGAAAATTAAATAAGTAGGGGATTCAAGTCCACAAACACAGAAAAGGGTAAGCAAGCATATTCTATAAATAGTTCTTATGAGATTCTAGATTACCTGCCTGCCATAAATTTCTCTCTTTAATATACCTCAAACACCCTCCCACCCAAAGATGCACATAGTAAGTATTCTAAAAGATATCTCACATTAAACTTACTAAGGAGAATCCCTTTTAAAGGGCAGAACACCGCCTTTAATAATTTGGCTAGTTGAAATCACATTTTGGAATATGATCTGGGAACCTGATTAGTGGAAATTCTGGTCTTTGTCAGTGATGCCTGAAATACAGGGGATTCTTGAGAGAAATCCCAAGAAACCGACACCCCAACTACACACTGACATGCAATACCTATCATTGGCTGCTTTAACTCAAGTTAGAAACTGACGAGCAGAGATTTGCTCTGTCAAAGTCCCGTTATCTTCCCCATACCAACCAAAAGGGCCATAGTAGACAATGACAAAAAGCAGGTGCTCAAAAGCTACCATTTTTGAGGGGCTAAGGAAATATAGGTACAGAAACAAAAACAGTTACACAAACGAATAAAAAAACAGCAAAGAATGCCTTGATAGGATAGGGAGTAAAGGCTCTGGCAGAGCCACTTCAGATGGGGGATGGGAGTCAGAAAAGGCTAATAAAATAGCGACATACGGCTGTACACGTATATATAGTGATATGCAGATGTATATTGTGATACATGCCTAAAACCAGAAAAAAAAAAAAGGATTGTTTCTCAAGCCTGCAGGATGCCCAAATTGTTGCAATGATCACCGGGTAGAGAGCAGGGCTTTATTACTTTTGAATTCAAAAGGAGACTGAATAATGAACTGAAAAATAAGAGCCAATTTCCCTTTCCTGCTACGAATTACTAAGTAGATGGGGCCACCCTTGTTCTTTGCAAAACAGCATCGAAAGCCCCCGAAACAAAACAAAACAAAAAAACCCTAAAGGGGCACCACGTTCGAGAGTCTCACGCAGGGGTACACCTTCACTCACAATAACAGTGGCTTCAGGGGAAGAGATCATTACTGGGCTTACTGTTCTTACCACCCAGTATGAGACATAAATGGTTCCAAAGCCAGGCATCAGGCAGAATACCAAGAGTCAGACACAGAGGCAGAGATAAAGCTCACGGTCACTGTGCGCTCCACGGCAGGCTGTCAAATGCTACCCCGAAAGGGGCAAGTCAGTGAATTTCAGAATATGAAGTGCTCCGTCTTGAACTGCAGGATTCAGAACCAGACAACTGAATACTGAAGGTGCTGCCCGGCTCGCTGGGGGCTTGGCTCCTGGAAGGCTGGCTTCCACGCGTCAGGGGGTTGCGGCCCTTACCAGCTACTGTTTTATCACCATAAAATAACGAGGGTGATCAACAGCCAGCCTCTGAAAAGACTCATGGTGTGCTGGTTCACGATGAAGACTCCCAAGCCCCAAACACTTAAATATCTAAGTAGGTGATTCAAGATTTAGAATGAGAACTGAAGAGTGTCAACTTTTTTTTTTTTTTAACTAACACCAAAATTAATGTTTGTGCAGGTAATATAAGGAATGCACTTGGAAAAACATAGATTAGACAATTTCACATACGTGGACTTGGTCTAAAAGGACAGTTTTCTAAACTTTGTCATACACCAATCGAGGTTTTCATCTGTACGTGTGTGGTTGTTTTCTTTTCACCATTTTATATTCCACAAAGGATGTAAGAGGCCCCCCCTCATGCATATTGGGGGAATTCTGTGATTAGGCTGGAAACAGGTAAGAGATGTCCAAAGCAATACAATCTACTGATTCAAAAATATGGAATTGTTAAAAAAACTAACTCATGTTAAATAACAACAGTGGTGAGGATAATAATCATGTTCAACACTTCGTGTATGAGTCCTATAGGCGAAGGATTACTCCATTGAAGCTAACAAAACCATTAATTTTTTTGGCTAGATAACTGGGACACCAAAAAAGTGGTCACGATTAGAATCAGAGAGTCTACAGCCTTGGGGCCCAGCCCTGCTAGACTTGGTGTTCACTGGATTTTTTTTTTTTTTACTGTGTTTTATTACTCTCTTTAATTGAGATAGAATTCAAATATAAAATCATCCACCTTAAAATGTATGATTCAGTAGGTTTTAGAATACTCATAACATTGCAAGAACATCACCACTATCTAATTCCACAACATTTTCATCAACTTAAAAAGAAACCCTGACCCCTGAGCTGTCACTCCCCATGCCCTCCTTCCTCCAGGCCCTGGCAACCATGCATCTACTTTTTGTCTCTATTCAGTGCCTGCTTGTATAGGACATAATTTTAATACCCCCTTCAGAATTCCAAGATGAAATTTTGAGATATTACATATATATTCATATAAATTTAATGATATATTTAATATGTACATCTTATCATCCTGTGCATTCCACTTGCTAGGGTCTGTGCATTCTCCCACGTTATTAGCTATTCATCCACAGCTGTACTTCCAACAGCTGAAGGAATTCAGTCAGATAGTGCACACAGCATCTAACTAAATCTGGTGTTGTTGGAATTTACATTTGCATACTGAGTTCGTTTTTTTTTTTAAGATTTTTTTTTAAGAGAGAGAGAGAGAACATGAATAGCGGGAAAGGAGAGAGAGAAGCAGGCTCCTTGCTGAGCAGCGAGCCCAATGTAGGACTCCATCCCAGGACCCTGGGATCATGACCTGAACTGAAGGCAGACGCTTAACTGACTGAGCCCTGCATACTGAGTTTTTAAAAAACTAGCAACCAGACTTAAACATTGTGTTTTGTATTTCAAGAAATGATTTGAAAAAGAAGCTATTCATATTATACTCTTTTTAGTGGGGGCATGTTTAGGAGCCTGGCAGGGGGTGGACAGTGGGGTGGAGGGAAGCTATGAGTCCCCTCCGTCCTTATGACATCATATGTCTGGAGCAATCAGGAGGCTGGCTCTTTTCTATCATAAAGAACTTGATGGCAGTCCCTATAGGACATTTGTTCCTCACAAATACTTCCCAGAGATTCTATTAAAAGTCCCACAGAAGCTCTGTTAAACATTAAAGCCCTATGCAAACTAATATCAAAAAAGAACTATGTTTTTTGGGGGGCACTGTTTGGAACCAAGCATTACCTTAGCTGCTCACAGCAAGTCTTGAAGCCATAAAACCGTATTTTGCAAAGTATCACACATTATTATCACCCTGGTTTGACTTCCTTCTGATTTCTAGCACTGAAAAAAAAAAATAGCCTTTTCTATGATTTAGGTGTAGGACCTAACTGCAGAGGAATTTGCATTTGTATGAAGGGGGCTGAAATCCAGCTTCAGAATCAGCCAGGATTTTATTCTTTTATTTTATTTTACTAGGGAAGCAGAGAGTATCCTAATAAATCCTCCTTTCCTCTTTTAGCACATTGAAAAACCCATCTTTGAGCTCCACTGACTCCATTAGGTTAGAATTTTGGTATGAAGTACAAAGGGAGAAAAAGTATGCGGTATGTGGGTGGAAAGAGAGAGAAGCAGAGCACGCAGTGAAGGGAGAACTGTGAGCAAGCACGTGGGCAAGCACCTCATGTAGCCTGGTGCTCAAGAACGATGCGGCAGAAAGAGGATGTGTGAAGAACACGGACACCCCGGCTTCACATGCGACCTGCCAATCCACACAGGGCTCACATGCTGTTCCCTAGATGAGACCTCACCCAGAACTCCTTTGACTTGTCTCTGTCTTTGGACTTCTTGATTTAGCTTCTGTTTTGGCATTTACACAATAATAACTTTACTACAAAAGGTAAATGTCTTGTCAACTAATGGGAAACATATTGCTTGGCATAGTTTATAATGCCAGGATTTATGGCTCTAACACTGAGGGTCTCTCTGACCTCGAAGATAACATAATGAACCAGCAATGTGCTGCAAATGGCTCAGTGTGATTTTTATTAGTTCTCATAATTGCCCCTTATTAATTTGTATGCACATAATAAGCACTCACCTTCACAGTCTGTCCAGCTTCAGGGCCATCCTGGAAGGAGGAAAAAAAAATAGATAAATAACAGAGGTGATACCAGATAGATGGTATCTCCATATCTCCTGTTAATAATTTAGATCCAATTTCATTGTGTGTTAATTTATAGTATTCTCATGGGGACCATTCACGTCAAATGTGTGGGACCAGACAGTTCTCCATTTCTGCCCGAGAGTAAGTGAAAAGTTATGTATAAAAATGATATAAATTATCCAGTGAGCCAACCCTCTTGCTACTTTCCATGCTCTTTGCTCTCGGCTATGGTTTTAATTGCATTAAAGGAAGGTTGGAAATGTTTGAGGAGGTAAATTATCACACCTTTTGGTTATCTTTAAATCAGATGTAGTTTAATTAATGTCTGATTACTAGAAGTCTCTGCTCAAAAAAAAAAAAAGAAAAGAAAAGAAAAGAAAAAGACACCTACTGTAAAAATAATCCATTAAGCAAGAGTATGGGCTATCTTATATGGGAAGATCACCCAAGAGTGGGCCCTCTCTGGCTGTCCTGACCTTGGTGGGGGTGCGGGAGGGTGGAAGTAGGAGCATTCATTTTTGCTGGGCCTTTTTCCCATCCTGGCTCCTTCTCTCAGCTTTTAAAACCCAACAATACTATTGGTTTAGTTGAAAATGGGCCAACTTACCCAGTCATCAGTCACAATACAAAGCAAAAACAAGTGTTTAGCTGGTTTGAGATAACAGAACAAGCAATGTCTACAATCAAAAATTGTAAAACTGAATCAAACCTTGCAACTTTTAGCAAGTCTTTCTGCCTCTGTGACCCAGACTAATGGGTAAGAAAGTTTGGCCTGCTGTGGCCAAGATTAAGTAGAACTATGTATCAGTGCTTTTCAAACTTGAAGTCACAGCCCATTAGTGGGTCATGAAGTCAGCTTAATGGGTTGTGATCAGCACTAAAAACAAACCAGATAATATAACAAAAACGATTAGAGTGCACTGAAAGGGTAGCTGTTTTGTAAAACTCTGGTTTCCTTTATCTATATATGTATCCATGGGGAGGGAGGGTCACACGATTGTGGAATAAATATCCTAGTGTGGTTTAAAGCTTTAAGGGGTTTGAAAACACGGCATATATGAAAGTACTCCAGGTGCTACGCACAAGTCTGTTCCTATGTTTATGGGATTCACTTTCTAGTAAATCATGTTAGATAACTAGCCCTGGCTATTTCCAGCGAATGTGAATTTTCTTCTAGCATTTCATTTAACACTGAAAGATGTCTTCAGCCACTTGCCTTCATCTGGTCTCTCCGGAAACATGATTTATAGCATAAGCTTGATAAACCCACCCTGAGATTAATTACCTGCATGAAGGTGACTCACACGGTTTGACATGCAACACACACACACACACACACACACACACACAGTATTTTAAAGGGAAGTTTACTCTCAACACAGACATGGCAGCAAAAAAATTTTTAAGAAGCATTTAAGAGCAGTTTTAGTTTGAGCCTTTCATAACCTGAAAATAGTGGCCTTCTTTACCTGTTCTCTTTGAAGGTCTACGGTGGGGACATGAGGAGAGTTGAAGGAGGATGGTCAATATTCTGCATAACTAAAGCACTGAGGGCAAGATATCACATGATGGAAGAAGTCAATTCTTTCCAAAGGGTCCCTGCAGAGTCATCTGATTTCAAGGCCACTAAGGACTTTAATTAGGTATGGATACTCCCCAACTCTTCCCAAGGGGGATCTGAAGGGGCACAGGATATGTTATATTGATTTACTCAATTCCCACAGCTGATGACTCACCACAGACCTCCTCCTCCTCCACTTGGCTCTACCTCTGCCTAAAGATCTCCAGTGATCGGGGCGGGGGGCGGGGGGGGGGCGGCTGGTGTCTCATTTTCTTCCTGGGAAGCAGGCCGCACAGAATATTTGATCAATCCAGCTTCATACCAATCCACAATCAATTACTGGCGCTTGAGTTAAAGAGAAAAGGAACCCTCTGAGGACAAGGCCCCATGTAACTTGCATATCTCTCCTATCCTGAGGTAGAGCAAGGCTAGGCCCATGCAGTGCTCAAGACATATTTACCATGCAATAAAAATGACTTGTCCGGCCCCAGTCCCAGGAAAAGATCTGGAATGTCTTAATGCCCATGAAATCACGTGTCTATTTTTCCTACCTGCTTTGTAAACAATGCTGCAGACAGTGTCTCAGCTGACATTCCATAGTCCACCTCGGGGCCAAGGATAGATAGTAGGGCGGTCCTGGATTAGTAACACCTTTTTCTGCTACTATGAAAGACATGAACAACCACAGCTGCCTTACAAGTGAGATGGCAGCTTAAAAGAGAGAGAAAGCCCAACGCTAGGGTGTGAAAAGGAAGAAAAATAACTTCTGAGCTATCTGTACACTCACCTGCATGGAAAATGTGAGAGAAGTTCCCTGGAAATGCTTCTCCACCACCAGCCCAACTCTCTGGGCCGCCTGAAACAAATCCGCCACTTCATCGGGACGCAGGTCTCGGAAGCGCTCCACTGGCCGAAGGGGACACACGAGGACATCTGTGGTGAGTTCTGTTAAGGCACACTTTTGCTTCTTTGGGAAGTATTTTTACCAAGAAGTTTATGCCCACAGTACTGAATCCCCTTGGCCCAAGGCCTCAACTCTCAAAGACTAAGGAATAAAAGAACAAATATTTACCAACCACCAAACTCCAGGAAGTTCAAAAAGAGCTTATAAACATGGTTAATTATACTTTGAAGGGGAAGGGATGGCACACTGAAGAAATTCTTTTAAGGGAAAGGGACATTAATGTTCAGAAAGACTCAAGTGCTGGCTGAAATGATTATGCCAAGAGGCAAAATCTATTCTGGACCATTATCTCCTGACCCCAATTCGAAAGCTCTGTCTTCTCAAGCAGCTAAAGGCACTGGGTTGGAAAAGCAAGCAGAACATCCATGATTAAAATTTTAATTTCAATATCTCTTTACAGAAAAATGTAATGAAAATACTATAGGAGTTATTTTATTTTTGTGTAAAAGGAGTGTCGACATTCTGAAAATGTACAGTGCCCTTCATTTCTGGTAAGAGAGGCACCATGGGGTTAAGCAATTTATGACAAGTGTTCCTCAAATTGATTATTAAGAATTCAGGAAGCCAGTTGAAGGTAAATCATGAACTTAAGAAAAAAGGGTTTTTTGATTTTTACTTAGGCACACAAAACCGTCTGAAGGCAAGTCAACATATTTATGATATTGGCCTGAACAAACAAAATCTAGAGGAAAAAAAAATGTTGGTGGCAAATTAATATTCAATGTTACACCGTCAATAACATTTCAGTTGTCTGTGTATCTGAACCCCTCATATATGTGTGGCTACATGCATACAATTGGGCATATATGCATATATATATATATATATATATATACATATATACACACACACACACACATATATACGGTATACACACACACACACAGATAGATATATTATTTTTTGTTTAGATTTCAGGTACCAGCAGGAGAAAAAAAGTGCTCTAATGCTCTTTTCTGTTTCTTTCTTTTTTCCCGTTTCTTCTCGTTTTACAAGAGCATGCTTTGCCTAAAGCTAAGCAGCTAAAGGGCATAATAAAACCCCAATTCTATGATTGCTAGTCTCACCAGCATATCAAGCACTGTAGACCATCATACTGGTAGGACTCAGAGCCCAAAGGGAAATGCACTGAGCTCAGCTGGGTGGGCCTGATTTCCATAAGAGAAGCGGGAGGGGGGAGAAAGGAAAAACTGATTAATTTTGCTCATAATCAGGAAATTCATGTCAACGGTAAACTAGGGAAAGAAGCATTTGTTTAATCTGAGTTCATTTTTCAAGAGAGGAGAAGGGAAGCCTTCACCCACAGGGCATCAGATACTTAAAAAGATAATTATCCTTCTTTGGCAGGGCTGCTTTATTATCATGGGTCAATGAACCGTTTAGAAATGAAGAATTTCCTTTCATTTCCTTTTAGCAGATTGCCAGCTTCCACTCCCACTGAGTTGCCTTTTCTTTGTTAAAAGAGACCTTTTCCCATCATCCTCCTCCCAGCACCTCCTTCTCCTTCCTCCTCCCTCCCCACTCCCTTAGACCCTGACTTCACCAAACCACAGCAAGATGACAACTTTGCAAGCTTCCAACAATACCCATAATTGTCATGGTGAGCTATGTCTAAACACAGCGACCACGTGGGGAAGGAAGGACATTTTATTTAAACAATGGCTTACTGTCAAAATTGTTGGAACGAATCTGAAATTCTTTGTATCTGATAACTTTAGTAATATCGGTGACAACCGAAACTTTTTTTTTTGTCCCAATGCCATAAAAAATATTTTATTATCTGTTCATTCTCCTTGTCTGATGCTAAGGATTGGCTTGACCCAATGTTTAAGGAATCAAAACATTTATGGAAGTGAATCAAAATGGCTGAATCTGTCAGCTACTTCATCCTGAGTACACTGAACCACAGGGTCGTATATCACATACATTATTAATTGAACGTTAATAATACTAATAACAACATGTCACAAAAGAGTTGGACAGGCTAAACACATTCTCATTTAGGTGAATATTTTTCACCCGCCCATTTAGGCCACGTTGCCCCAACATGTATATTTCCTGAAATCTAACCCTTTATTAAGAAAACCTCTTACCTGCCTGCAACAATGTTTCCATGTGAATAAGATGAAATAGGGTTAACTTTTAAAGGTGCTTACTTGGGCAGGTGTTCATGTAGGTAATCATTGTCTTTGTTCTGTTGGGACCCAACGGATGGACAAACAGGCATCTTGACCTGGCAGTGGACACACAGGTAGGCTTCAGAGGACTCCATAGCGAGGTAGATGGGTCTGGATTTACACAGGGTGGGGCTCTGGAACTCCTGGCTACTGTGTGAGTCACCGACCTGACCAACAGCTGACTCACTAGTCTCCCCAGGCCATTCTAGGTACTAAATGGCATCAGGAAGTCAGGACCAACCACCATCCCTCAGTTCCTCTGAAACCAGAGCAGAAAAGAGCCTATGTCCTAAGCCGAACACAGGCTATGTCCCCACTGCTGCCTACCTACTTCCTGAAGCTCCTCTCCCCCCACTTCTCCGCTATGCTCTATACATCTGCCACATTTGCCTTCCTTCTGTTCGTCTAACACATTAAACTCCTTCCCAGACTGGGGGGGCCTTTGTCCCAGCTGTTTGTTCTGCCTACAATTCAATTCCCCATGATCTTCGCATGGCTGCTTCTTTCTTATCATTCCAATTCTAATTCCAATGCTACTCCCTCCAAGGAGCACTCCAAGACCACCAGTTTAAACTGCTACCCGGTTACTCTCTCTTCTGTCACCTGACTTCCATCCTGCCAGAGGCCCTGCCACCACCTGGCAGTTTTCTGGGTTCGCTACTACCTACCTGAATGAGAACATCAGCTCCACGAGAGTGAAGACTGTCATATTTACCACTGGTTCACCCCTGCCCAGAACACCAGACTTAATAAGCATTGTTGCAATGAGCGAATACATTATGAAGCAGACCTTCTTACCAGCTATCTCTGAGTACTAAGACCCTGACAAAATGGAGACAACATCCATTTATTTTCAGCCATCTACACAAGATTGGGAGAGTCTGCAAGATTTTTTTTTAATTCCAAGAGATCTCTTCCTAATATTTAGCATAATCAGAACCAATGTTGGATGTGAGCTGGAAAAAAGTAAACTTGTTTTGAACGTAAATTAATTTTCATACGAGCACAAAGGAAATGTAATGATGAGGGTAAAATCCTTGTGAAAAACCCTTTTTATGTAATCGTAAAAAAAACTTTTTATGTAATTATAAAAAAGAGAAAGAAGTGGTATCTAGATTATTCAGAGTCTCAGATAAACTATACCTATAAAAACGCTGCTTTATACTCTGACTAGGAATTGTAATTCATTTGTTCACTCAGTGAACAGTGAGCACCAGGTAAGTGTGGACGCTGTGCCAGGCTCTGGGAATAGCAAAGGAAAACAGGAAGTTGCTCCTGTTCTTCCAGTCCAGGAGACGGGCACCAAAATAAGTGACTGCAGTACTCTGGGAGGTTCAGAGGATACAGAGGCAGAGGGAAGGACCCAATGCTGCCAAACCTGGGACACCTTAGTAAGGCAAGGGCTCCAGGGCAACTACAGGTGACCTCCGAGTTTAATCCAGTACCCCATGGCTCCCGAAATATAAGCAGGTTCATAAAGGATTTAATGCAGGTCAGCAAACATTTTCTGCAACAGGCCAGACGGTCAAATTCAAAGTTTGGTGGGCTGTATGCCTAAGCAGCTATAGACAAGACAAACAATAGTAGGCGTGGCTATATCCCAGTCAGCCTTTATTTACATAAAGAAGGGGCAAGCCAGATTTGGCCATGGACCTAATAATGTCAACCGTTCGTTTGGAGGAATCACATTAGTAAGAGGTAACTAAAGGAAGTTAGAACTATTTGGGGGCTCCATTCTTTTCCTGAGTTGAGGACCACACTGTTATTTAAATAGCATATTGGACAAACATCATTATGGTATCTTAAAAATTGTCACTTTCTATGGAAAACACCTGAGCATGATAGAGAAATTTCATGAACTTGTGTAGCACTTTTGATGCTTTTAAAGACTAATCACAGTCAGAAAATGTGTTACGGTGATAATATCATATAGATAAATCATGAGTGTTGCTCCCAATCCAACTAAAGGAGTTTCTGCCATCTTTAATTGTAAGAACGAAGCATATGATCTACAAACACATGAGAGCACCAGAACAATATGTTATTCACAAACCCAACTGAAAATAAAAGCGTTTTCTCAAAATAAGTACGTAAGCCTTGGAAGAAAACACCATATTGCTTAAAGATGGTGGGTATCATGCGCTGCATGATTCTCATAGACAAACAACTCAGAGAAAGCAAATTAATTTTGAAGAATAGCAGACAGCTCTTGTAATTCTATTGAAACTGTTTATATGTCAATAGTTTTAAGGTAATGTCACAGATGCAGCATAATTTAATTTAGAGATTCTTAGGCATTGTTAATGGGCAAATCCCACATTATACATCGGCTGCTACAACACACTTTCTTTTGAGTCCTCTTTGCTTAGGATTAATACCCCTGAAGAGACTTTTTAGCCAACATGCATGATAACCCTCAAAGAAGTTAATCTACATAATTGAGTTTAATCTATATTTATCCAGGACTCATCATGGGTGAGAACCTGTGAAAGAGAATATCATATGGGATCTGGTCTCTCTCTCTAATCTAAAGTAGAGAAGTCCATTTAGTAGTAACATTTTTTTTTTTTTTTTTTTTAAAGAAGAGAAGGGGGTAGTTACAGTTTAGCTCCTGTGGTCCACAAAGAGACTCCTCATAGCAGAGGAAAATCAAAGATCACTTCCTAGTGCAGATGAGATTTCAAGTGAATTTTACAAATGGGGAAGTAATTCAACCAGTGGGTCAGCTGGCAACCCACTCATCCACCCATCCCACCACTACAGCCTCCTCTCAATCCAGGGCTTATGCTAGC